TATGTTGGATCTCTGATTTAATGAGTTAGCTAATTGCTTATATTTTGTCTTTATATTCTTTATGGCTGCAACTTGGCTCAGTATTTGATTTTTCATTGGCAACACTTTTTTTCAATGATAATCTTTTCTTTTTTAAGTGAATGTATGCGGATAGGTGGTGTCAAGCTGTTATTTCTTTGATTATTCCAATTGCTCAAGGTATTAGGTTGGTTACTATCCCAAGGCCAATTTTCTACATTTTGTTTTTTATTCCAATTGAAATTTGGGTGATATCTTCATCTTGAGTTATAGGTATTAGAATAGGGGTTGTTGGGTCTGTTGTTTATTGCATTCAGAGACTCTACAGCACTAGGATTAAATTAATGACCATAGGCATTATGTTTGATTGTTAGTCATCATGGTGTAGAATTTGAACTTAAATTGTGTAGCTCCCTTGATATAGAGAGTACTTATATAGTCAAAATTATTAACATATCAATATTACCGATACTCATTACTCTCTTGGGGTTAAATCTCTCAGAAAGTCATTGTAATTTATTGGTAATCATCTTTTTTATATGTGTATATGCCTTAAAAGTTTTGGACATCAAAGACCCCCAATTACAACACCTATAATAGACCTTAAAGATCCTACCAATTTGTTAAAATAAATTCTAGATAATTAACCAATCAGGTAGGGTATGGTGTAGACACTTCCTAAGCAACTCCTCAAACCTCTAGCAGGCTTCGTAAATGGACACATTATTTAACTGGGTGAAGGAGATTGTCATTCCTAAATTTGATAGTCTTGAAAGGCAGAAGATAATTTGCTAGGAATTTATGAGCTAGCTCAGTAAGTGGTGATAGACCCTGGTGCTAAAGAAGTTAATCATATCTTTGCCTTGTTGCTTAAGGAAAAAAGAAATAAAGTCTAACAACGTGATATAAAGTTATACCCAAAGGTCGCACAGAATTTTAGAAAGCTAGCTAAAGTGGAAATTTTTGAATTCGGTGAGTGATCCACCAAATTGATTGTTTTGGACTATCTAGATTATAACAAGATTAAGTTCGAAGGTATTGGCTTTTGCGACAGTGTTATTGACACTTTGTTGAATCTCTTCGATCGACTGGTTGACATTATTCTTAACTGTTCTAAGGTGAATAGTTTTTTCCCGAGTTCGCCATTGCTCCTAACTTCTTTTCAAGTTTTCTGAATTTTTTTATTTTTTTTAAACTATTTTAATTATAGAGTCGTGTACGACACTAGTTCAACATGTGCAATTCTATACTTACAACTTAGGACTAACTAGCAACCCTAAACTAAGAAATAACAAAAATGACATCAACATTATTTACTGAAAACACAATTAAACAAGTATATATATGCAGAAAATAAAAACAAAAAATCACAAAGCTCAATTTTTTTTGGATTTTTATAACATAGGAAATAACAAAAGAAAAAAAAGTAAAAAAATAAAAAATACTACATATTTCAAATCTAAACTTCAAAAGTTCAACTAAAATCCTGATAAATTGGAATTTTAATGTCGTTCTCTGGCAATGGAGATGAAAACTTGATGCTACATTGCAGTGAAGTAGGCGTTAGCCATGTAAGTGTATGTTTCGATCAAGTATTATACCGATTTTTTTAGTTCGTGTATCAATCCCACATAAAACTTGTTAATTTTCAAAAAGGTGAAAGTTCTAGTCTACTTATCCTAGATCTAGCTTGAAGAGTCAAAATTTTTGTGAATTTTAATATTTCTAAAATTCTAATTTTGCAAAAATAAAATCCTGAAGAATGAGTGTAGGGTTTTCTATTGAGTGAGAGAATCTCCCTTGATTGGTATCTAAGTGACCTAGAGTTATTCAAGTGAATCAAATGTTGTTGATAATCAACAACAGTTCTACTTCTTAGTGTCTTCCAAAGTCATAGTAAGTCTTGGGATTTCATATTACAATTTTGTTTGCTAAACCATGCAAAAACAACAAAAAATTGTGTTTTCCTATTTGATTGCACTATTATAGCTGCAATAATTCTGTTCTCATAGTACAGTATATGTTAACTTAATTGTCTAACTTGTCTTCTTCCATTGTCCCAGTTCACAATAGGTTTTAACATTCAAAATGGCCAATTTGGAAGTAAATGAAGCTTGCAACGTTAACATATTCCAAAAGATTTTAGCAATCACATGACATGTATAATTCTATGTTACTTAGATTATAAATACAAGGGAAAGAATCTAGTTCCTAAGCATGTCAGATGAACAAACTAGAATTTCGATTAAAATTAAGAAAAGTCAAATTTGCACGAGTAAGAACAATTAAACCCAATAAATTCTTGCTCACTTCATAAGGATTCACCTTTATAATGTATCTCCACTAGATAACACTATCACACTCTTACAATGATTTAATACACTCACTAATCTCTTCTTAAGACTCTTAACACACTCTCTCACAATGTTCTGGGTTCGGAAAAATAACCAAGGGCACCAATAATTCTTCGATTCCAAGGTTTTTAAACTAATCGTATTGCTACATGGAGCCGTCTAAACTTCCCAACGTTGGTGCTTGGCGCCTAGGCACCAGTTTGGAACACTAATTTTTCAAGCTTTTGGTCTTGTATTGCATAAAGGGATTGTGTTCAGGCTCTTAGGGGCCAGTGTAATTGTTGAGTTTCTGGTTTGTGTACCTAGTTGCGGCGTTGATTTTCGCTCTTCTCGATTCTTCATGTGTCTTCTGGTTGAAGGGCTTCAATGACTGGGTTGAGTGCCTTCTTTTCCTTCTCTAGGTTTTCCTGGTCAAAGGAAGGCATGGGCAGTGCCTACTTTTTTGGTTCTTGGTTTTCCTAGTCGAATGGGAGCTTCTTCTAGCGCCTGAAAATGACTTGGGATAAATTTGCTCGAAATGCTCCCCTTTGCTAAGTTGTAACTTGCAAAAACATAGAAAAACACCCAGGAAAAGCATTGAAGGATACATATAACCAAGAAAACTTAAGAAATGACACAAAAATTTTTTTCTACATGTCATTATGCCATCTTTATCTGCAATTGGCCATGTGCTTACTTATTTTTAAATGACCTTTTTGCCCTACTTTTGGTTAATAAAATATTTTGCGATAAATTTCTTTCTTTTAAAATAAAATTATTTAGGGTTTTCGTTGCAAAATTTGGTTGAGTAAAGTATTATAAATGTAAATGATTTTGATTTTTTCGTGTTTATTTGAAAGTAAATCAAATACAAAACATGCGTTTATGCGGTTTGGAATACCTATTTTTGATAAATTTGGAATTCCAGCTAAAATCAACGACTGCCTATGACATCTTTTTGGTTCGTGGCTGCAGCTTGTGGTCTTTGCCAGCATTACTGCCATCTCTTTCTTGTTTTCTCCCTCCCTCGGCCATCACAAGTGTTGCCTTGTCACCACTGCCAACCCCATGATCATTTTGTGCTGCTACTTGTTGTCTTTCAATTCAATGGAATAGTATCATAGTAGCATAAGAAGTAATTCAATTCATATGACATGCATCCTACAAAATAAATCATGCATTTCTAACATGCATACATTTTAAAAACATCCAACCAAATGGCTCAATAATATTTGTGATTTGATTCTAATCTATTAACATAACAATGTGTGTTCATAATAAAAAGCCAGAATGCATAGGAAAATATCTAAGGTAATTCTTTTGGTGGAACCCTTATGAATCAAAGTAGGTATCTCAATAATTTTTTCTTTCAGCAGGCGACTACTTCTCCTTGGTTATGCCTCGTTATTGCTGTGAACTACTGTTTTCTGCTCAAGGTTTGCTGTAAACTGCAAACATTGATCTTTCTCCTCTGCTTACCATACAACTTCTTGTTTTGGCTTCTTGCTGGTCTCAGATAGTTACAGGAAAACAGTAAGCAGCTGTCGTAGCAGGTGCAGGAAGCAGCTGCAGCTGAACAACAGTGCACTGTGGCATTTTGAGCACTCCCGTGGCTGCTGGAGGCAGTGGGTGAAAGAGACCAGCTGTTGTTTACTTGTCTAGGATGAGCTAGTGGCTTTGGCATTTGGGAGAGAGAGAAGGGATAGATTTGAATTGAGTTTAACTGCAGAAATTTGGCCTAACTATAGGCAGTTATAACAGGTTTTTGTCTTTATCAACCCTAAATAAATTTCACAAAAGAGGGAATCATATCTACAAATAAGATAATATTTAAATTAAAAAAATTAATTATATAATATTTATCCTAATCCAAAATTTAAAATTCAACTTTAAATTTTGTACAAAACAAATTCAACCCTCTTTGTCCCATTATAATGTTGATTTTGATCCAATGAACCAATCCTACTTCATGCTGCCCAACCTTAATCAGCATGGCTCCAATTAATGATCTATCCTTCACCTGTACTATTCACGTTCTGTACTTGATCTAATCTATGTGATTTATGACCGACGTCACCAGTCTATCAGGTAATTGGGTGTTCCCTATTCAGATCTTTTGATCATTTTATGATTTGATATCTAATATGAGGTAGGCGTTTTCTTTTAGACTACTTGTGAAATGAATGGAATTGACCTTTCCTCTCATAATCTAATCTTCAGGTCAATTTTGACATGATTGCTAGCTGGGAAGGCTAATCAGTTTGGCATTTATGTTTCTGGTTAAAATACATACTTGTGGTGGGCGTTCTGAAGGGTTAAATCCAACTTATTATGTCTTGGTTTGAAATAATGTAAAAATTTTTATTAAATAATATCGTTTTTTGGGTGACTAGAAGGTTTAGTTGATGAATTAGAGCAGAAGTGATTACATAGGACAGTTGTTGATGAAAATCATTTTGCATGCACCTTTTCTTTGTTTTTATTTTTTTTATTTGGTGCATACATTTTTACTTGCTCGCTAGGTTCATCTATTTATGTTTTTTTACTTTTTGCTTTTTTATTTTATTGGGATGCTATTTTCTTTGCAATATATTGTTATCATGTTTTAGTTGTTTTTTCTGTATTAATTTCTTTTCTAAACATTTGCAGCTATGCATCTTGCTAGGGGAAATCATGAAAGCAAGAACATGAACAAGATATATGGTTTTGAGGGAGAAGTCAAGTCTAAACTAGGTGAAGCATTTGTTGAGCTTTTTGCGGAAGTGTTCTGTTGTTTACCTTTGGCTCATGTGATAAACGACAAGGTGTTTGTTGTTCATGGTGGCCTATTCAGTGTTGATGGCGTGAAGCTTTCTGATATACGTTCAATTGATCGCTTTTGTGAGCCTCCCGAAGAAGGTTACATTTTTCCAAAACTTATATGCTATTTGGACTAATTTCTGTCGACATTTTTATTGTTGACAAATGTATAATTCTATTGAAGATTGCTATTGAAATTTAAGATGAGGCTAGTAGCAGATTATACAGATTGGTAATAAGAATTGTGGAGTGAGGAGATATAAAATATTATTCAATAAATGAAATGCTTATTTAACAGTGTCAAACATTGAATACTTCTCTGACTTGTAATGATTACTGAAAAGCTTGAAATTTTGCAGACTATAGTGAGCAAAACACATTCTACAACTTCTAAATGATTAAGTTTGGAACCAAGGAAGATGGAATTGATTTATATAGAATAGCTAAATAAATTGATAAGAGTTTAAAAACTTCAGTTGTGTTTGATTATTCAGAATGAAGATAATATGGCTTTAGTTAAAGATAAACTAAAGATATATTAATTTGCTATTTTGGGAAGTTACCATATTGGAGTTTTAAGGAATAAACTACTTTGGTAGATCATAATGAATAAAATAATGAGGCATCTTATAGATTGATCCTTAAAATTGTAGTGTTGGCTTTAAAGAAAATGGCTGAACTTAAAATTTTAGGTTTAGATGAATTACTTATCGAGATTTTTTGAATTATGTGGTATATTGTAGTGTTTTGATTAATGAATATTTTAGTGAGTTTTTGAAGATTAAGGATCTTTTTGAAGCAACTGCAATTGTTTGAAGTAGCTATGAAGCCGCTTCCGTGGAAGTTATTGCTGATGAAGCATTATGTCTGTTTGGAGTGCTCATCTAATAAATTGTTGTGCTGTAGCTGTCTTTGAGAAAAAAAATTATGATGCTTTTATGCATATGTGCTAGCTGTGTAAGTTAGCTGTTTCATCATGAATTCAAATAAAACTCCAAAAACTCATCCATAAGTTTATAAAAAGTCAAAAGTCTAACAAATTATATCAAAAGTTACACATCATTTAATAATGAGTAACACCAAATTTAAAATTGTAGTAACAAGTAATGCTATCATTATGTTACTTTTGGTGTCCATATGATCTAGTATTCGTTAGAATTTTCTCTCCAAAATTATTCTCCACGTCACTATCTGAGTAGACTCCTCATAGTTATCAACCCATCTAAAAATACTGGAATCATCTACTTATTTCTGAGAATACATACTTTAGTACACCTCTCTCAACTTGTATTACAAAATAAATAGTTCAAATAAAAACACATGGGCACAATATAAATTTCAACATAGCTCAAACCACGAACACCAATTGTGAACCAAAACACAACAACCACCGAAGAAAACCCAGTATCGACCATAATCAAGTGGGAAATTATGTATAACAGAAGTAGAAAATCAGTAAAAAAAGCAAGTTGACAAGCAAAAAAAAAAAAGAAATAATTACAAAAGATCATATAAGACATCAAAACCCGTTCAAATCACGTAATATAAGTGTTAAGAGAGAGACATATATGTAGTAAATATTAAAAAAAAAGGTGATAACTAAAAAAACAAGATAACTGTAGCAAATATTACATAATAGTTCAATTACAATTTTTTGCCAAAAAAATATAAATTGTTCGAAATTATGCTACACATTATGATTCTCATAGATATAACATAGATAATGAACTATTAGCTCTGGAACCATATCCATAAAAATCTTCCTTTTATTATATCTGAGTACTTTTGTAAACTGTAAATAAAGTGGAATTTCTTCAAACACTTTTGTGAGTTGGTCCAGCACAATGTTAGCCTTAGAAAGGGATGGTAGTGCATGAGGCATACTTGAAGCAGATGTCATTGTTATACATGCGTTAACTAACTCTTCAATCTAAGTTCTTAGAAATCCAACACTTGCTTTCTTTTTTCCACCCTTAGATGAACTATATTTTGAATAACTTAGTACGATCATCTATCCCATGCAACGATTCCTCAATAAGATAAGTTGGAGCTCTTTCTGGGGTCAGAATTGTAATGACCATGTGTAGGTTCGTGAGGCTCTTGGTGTGGAGCTATGCATAAGCTCTAGTTGCAACTCCAAGACTAAACATCCAATCCAACTTCTCTTATAGTTTGGGATCTGTGTCGCAATATTTAAATTTTTTGACATTTGACATAACCTGCAGTTTATTAAACATAGATTTGAACTTTTAAGAACACATGCATACTTACTGAATAATATGATCGAACTGTGTAAAATTTAGCTTACATGTAACTTCTTTCTCTCCGCCATTCATCTGATGTATCAATGATCTCTATAAAATTCTAATCAAAATGACTTAAGAACAATAAGGGACGAAAATAAACCCAAAGATGGCAACCCAAACAACTTTGACAAGCTAAACAACTCAGAACAATGTTCAAAATAGCTTTACCCAAGCTGGGGGGAATTGGATGCGATACAACAGTGAAGACGAAGGAGAAGATGAAGGGAAATAATCTCGTAACCGAGACAAGAAGAAAAAACCCTAGAGGCTCGAAGGGCAAAAGGAGGCGCTAATAAGGAGGTCACCAAATATTGTTCCATAGGCCCACATTTCCGAAAAACAATAAAAATTCAAGCACACCAAACACTCATAATGGTGCTGTTCGAACTAGACCGCAGCTTGGAAGTTACACCAAATGGGGCCTAAGAATAATGAAATGATTGGAGAATATATATATATATAGATATATATATATATATATATATATATATA